CGGGCCCCTGAGGGGGCTGGGCGGGGGAGCTGCCAGGCCGGCGGCGGCGGCTGGGACCGTTGGGGGCGGGGTGTGTGGCCTTATGACACACTTCCGGTGATGTCAGGGGGTGTGGCATATGCTAATGAGTTATGCTAATGAGTTCCCCTGGCTCTTTTTCTACGAAACGACCCCTGATCTTTACTCTATGACTGAAGGCGAGCCGCGGCAGCCATTTTGTGCCTGAACCCACCATACCGTGTCAGAATTCCAAAGGTGCTCAAAAATTTGGGGACCCCTGGTGCAGGGGGTGACCAGAAGGTCCTAGGAGTGGAAGCTCCATTCTTGGTTCCAGAAAGACAGGTCAGGGACTTGATCTGACCAGGGGCTTAGTTAGGAGTAGACCCAGGATCCATCTCCTCCAGCGTTGGAAGGAGTCGGGTTATAGAATGTATTTGGAAACAGATCCAGGAGAAAAAAAATCTGAGGGCTCAATGTCCGATTCCCCACAAGCAGCTGTGCTGCCAAAAAAAAAGCTCTTCCGTTTCCCCAGGTTGTATTGGTCAATTTCCCACTATTTGCTGCGTGGCTGCATTTTGACCCACATCTCCACCCCCCCCGATTTCCCCCACATCTTCTCGATCCTGTTTTTTGAGGATCGAGAAGACGTGGAGGAAATCAGGGGGAGATGCGGGTTGAAGTGCGGCCGCACAGCAAATAGTGTGAAATTGACCAGTACAATCGGGGGGAACGGAAGAGCTAGGGCGGCACAGCTGCTTGTGGGGAATCGGTCAGTGTCTCTCACAGGAGGAACGAGGGTTGTTGGTTTTTTTGACATTGCAGTCTTTGTATGGTTTTAGGGCTTCCGGTGGACAGTGATGGTGTACGACCACAAAGGGAGAAGTCAGGTGAACCTTTCGTTTGGGTCACTTGACTGAATCGCTGTCCTCTGCTCACGGCTCTCCCTCAGCCACCGACTAGTTAAACCCAGTGAATCCACCGTGTCACAGAAGCAGAGCCAAACACGTAGTCCTAGACGAGTGCTTCAGGCATCTTGTGACAATAATTCAACACAAAGCACGCAGTGGAATTAAAACGTTTATTTTTAAAAGGCGGCGTTGCAAGCAATAGCCCTAACAGAACGCATTGGTGATGAGCGCAGAAAGAGCGAAGTGGGAAAAGAAAGGACTAAGCTGGCTTAACGAAAACTAGAAATGTAAAGTAAAGCAAGCGAGGGTGCCGCTAATGGAAACAGCTGTGATCTCATAGCTGTCAAAGGTTGGGGCACTTAGAGAAGACTTCTGTCCTGACAACATGAGCTGGGGCAACTTGGGAAGGTGTATGCTGGTCAACCTTTCCCTATGAGGAAAGGTTAAGGCGCTTAGGGCTCTTTAGCTTGGAGAAAAGATGACTGAGGGGTGACATGATTGAGGTTTATAAGATTATGCATGGGAAAGAGCAGGTCGAGAAAGAGGTACTTTTCTCCCTTTCTCACAATACAAGAACTCGTGGGCACTCCATGAAATTGCTGAGCGGTCGGGCTAGAACGGATAAGAGGAAGTCCTTCTTCACCCAAAGAGTGATTAACACTTGGAATTTACTGCCACAGGAAGTGGTGGCAGCTACAAGCATGGACAGCTTCAAGAGGGAATTAGATAAGCATATGGAGCAGAGGTCCATCAGTGGCTCTTAGCCACAAGGTATAGATAGGGACTCTGGGGCAAGTGATGCTCTGTCTTCTTGGTGCTTGGGGGGGGGTCAACAGTGGGAGGGCTTCTAATGTCCTGGCCCCACTGGCGGACCTCCTGATGGCACCTGGTATTTTTGGCCACTGTGTGACCCAGAGTGTTGGACTGGATGGGCCTTTGGCCTGATCCAGCATTGGCGTCTCTTATCTTCTTATGTTCAATGCCCTAACCTGGATAGCCCAGGCTATCGCGATCTCGTCAAATCTTGGAAGCTAAGGAGGCTCGAGCCTGGCCAGTACCCGGATGGGTGACCTCCAAGGAATACCAGGGCCACGACACGGAGGCAGGCATTGGCGAACCGGCTCTGTTTGTCTCTTGCCCTGACCTGGGTGGCGCAGGCCAGCCCGATGTCATCAGATCATAGAAGCTAACCGGGGTCGGCCCTAGTTAGTACTTGGATGGGAGACCACCAAGGAAATTGAGGGTGGTCCTCCTTGAATAACTGGAAAAACAAATGATGGGAACATTTCCTGCTAGGGAACATGGCCTCACAAAACGCCGCACTCGCCCTGAACGGCCGTCGACCGACACTTCAAGTAGTCTGGTTCCCAGGGGTCCGCTCCCTGCCTGAAGGAGACTTTCTCCCCAATCACCGCTATTCCCAAAACCTTTTGTATTTTTGAAACCTTTATTGTTTCTTATAAGTCATACTGACTGGACTGGTGGTGTATAAGCTTTATACTGTTTCCGAAGGCTTCTACCACTCTAAACAGCTGTTAACATTGTCGCGTATAAAATGTATAAATAGTTTTAAAAAAATAAAAAATAAAATAAGGAGATTGAGGGTTGCTACGCAGAGGCAGGTAATGTCTCTGCCCCTGACCTGGGTGGCCCAAGCTTGCCCAGTCTCACCAGATCTCAGACGCTAAGCATGGTCAGCCATGGTTAGTGCTTGAATGGGAGACCACCAGGGAAATCCATGGTCCTGACCAATGCTCCCTCTAAGCTGCGGTGTCCAATGTTCCCTCTAAGCTGTAGAGTCTTATGAGCAAGAATTCCACTTTGTGAGCTACTGGCATTAAAGCTATGAGCAGTAATTTGGCGACTGCATAAATTAGTTTGCTCTGGAGCTATCCTTCCTGAGCTAAGAGAAAAACGTGTGAGCCGGAGGCTAAAAAACGGTGAGCTAGCTCACACTCACTCAGCTTAGAGGGAACACTGGTGGTGTCCTATGAGCAAAAATTCCACTTTGTGAGCTACTGGCATTAAAGCTATGAGCAGTAATTTGGCTACTGCATAAATTAGTTTGCTCTGGAGCCATCCTTCCTGAGCTAAGAGAGAAATGTGTGAGCCGGAGGCTAAAGGATTGTGAGCTAACTCACACTAACTCAGCTTAGAGGGAACACTGGTGGTGTCCTATGAGCAAAAATCCTACTTGGTGAGCTGCTGGCATTAAAGTTGTGAGCAGGCGATTTGGCTACTGTATAAATTCGTTTGCTCCGTAGCCCTCCTTCCTGAGCTAAGGCAAAAATGTGTGAGCCGGAGGCTAAAAAACGGTGAGCTAGCTCACACTGACTCAGCTTAGAGGGAACACTGGTCCTGACCAATGCTCCCTCTAAGCCGTGGAGTCTTGTGAGCAAGAATTCTAGTTTGTGAGCTACTGGCGTTAAAGTGGTGGGCGAGCGATTTGGCCGCTGCATCAGTTAGTTTGCTCTGGAGCCTATCCCCTTCCTGAGCTAGGACAAAAGTGTGTGAGCCGGAGGCTAAAAGACTGTGAGCCAGCTCACACTGACTCAGCTCAGAGGGAACACAGGTCCCGACGCAGAGGCAGGCAGTGGCAGACCCCTTCTGAACATTTCTCTCCTTGAAAACCCTAACGGGTCACTGCACGTCAGCTGTGACTCGCCGGCACTTTCCACCACCACACTGGTAAACATGTATACCGCAAAGGGGAGATCTTATGTCTTCCGTTGTTTGCTAATGATGTGCCGGGATTGTGGTTTTCCCACACACGTCCTCCACGCGTCCCCACGAACCTGGAGATGTGTTCGACGCAGCAAATGGCCCATCAACATGGCGTGCTCACAGCTGCGCAGAGTACGGCCACGCCGCCGCCACTCGTCGCCCATTCCGAGGGCCTTGCTTATGTGCCGCGGTGCGCTTCTTCCAGGTGCGCGCCCATCAGCTGGTCCTGCCGCCGTGCGACGTGGTCATCAAGGCTGTCTCCGAGTACGTCGGCTCCATCAAACACCCCTCTAACTTGGACGTGATCGGGAGAGATGTCTTCAAGCACTCCCAGGTGAGATGAAGTTGTGAGAGGGCCAACCCTCCCGGGAAGCCTGCATTGCGCCGTTGGCAGGCCCTGGACTTTTAGACCCAGGCCAGTGGAGAGGAGTGTGTTCCTGGCCGGGTGGCCAGCCAGTGCCCCCTCTAAGCTGTGGAGTCTTGTGAGCAAAAATCCTGCTTTGTGAGCTACCGGCATTCAAGTCGTGAGCGAGCGGTTTGGCTCTGCTGCATGAATTTGTTCGTTCCGGAGCCGTCCTCCCTGAGCCGAGACAAAAATGGGTGAGGCAGAGGCTAAGAAACTGAGCTAGCTCACAGTAACTCAGCTTAGAGGGAACACTGTGGCCCACCTCCAGGTGCCCTCCTGGCTATTAAAATTGATCTCCAGACAACCAAGACCCTGGAGAAAATGGTTGCTTTGGAGGGTGGACTCTGTGGCATCGTATTAAGAACCGAAAAGGTTAATTGGATACGAATTAGGGGGCCCTGCCCTATGTAGGGGCCGCAGTGGCTCAGTGGTTAAGATGCTGAACTGCCGACCGGAAGGTTAGTAGTTTGGCAGTTCGAGACCCGAGTGCCGCGTGACGGAGTGAGCTCCCGTCTCTGGCCCCAGGTCCTGCCAACCTAGCAGTTTAAAAGCAAGAAATTGCAAGTAGATAAATAGGTACTGCTTCGGTGGGAAGGTAACAGGGTGTTGTGTGCCTCGACGTCTAGTCATGCCGGCTACATGACCACGGAAATCTCATTGCACAGCACTGGCTCTTCAGCTTGGAAACGGAGCTGAACTAGAGTCTGATTTGACTGGCTTTCGAGCAAGGGAAACCTTTACCGAGTCCTGGCTGTCCAAAGACATTTCTGTGGTCATGTGGCTGGCATGACTAAACACCAAGGCGCACGGAACGCTGTTACCTTCCCACCAAAGTGGTACCTATTTATCTACTTGCATTTCTTGCTTTTGAACTGCTAGGTTGGCAGAAGCTGGAACTAGAGACGGGAGCACACTCGGTCACGTGGCACTCGGGTCTTGAACTGCTGAACTACTGACCTTCCGCAGCCTGCAGTTCAGCGTCTTAACCTCTTGAGCCACCGCAGCTCCTACCTTTACCTTACTCTATGTTAATTTTAATAAGTATAAAGCATCAATATATAAATAATACAAATACCCTATGTTAATTTCGATAAGTATAAAGCATCAATATATAAATAATACAAATTATACAAAAATACATGTATTTGTTACAAATTGGTTTAAAAACCGTTGTAGGTCCAAATATAGCCTGAATAAGAATTAAAATCGAACATTACATTATAACAATAATTGATTCTCCTGGACCAAAAGAGGAAGGTACACAATTGAATCACCATTTGGGTTACATGTACCTGATTTGGACACAAGATGATATCATATGAGGCCTGTATAGTAAATCCTCGCCTTGGGTCACTGATATTTATCAGAACATAATTTTCATTTGGTCCTGTTTTGACTATTATTATTATTATTGTAATAACTGAGCCTATGTGTAACATTTATGCTTTGACCACTGAAGGCTGAAATGCGTCTGTTTTAGGACCACATAAGGTCCTTATTTGTGAACACTGTTCAATTTTAATTCTTATCGAGGCTACATTAAGGCCTACAACTGTTTTTAAATCAATTTGAAATAAGTACATGTATTTTTGTGTTATTTATATTTGTGTTGTTTATATATTGATGCGTTATACGTATTGAAATTAACATAGGGCCCCCTAATTTGTATCCGGTTCACCTTTTTGGTTCTTAATTAATCTCTTTTGGGTTAAGTTTTTGTTCCCCTCCTTTTCCAGTTTGGTGTAGTGGTTAAGAGCGCGGACTCTAATCTGGGAGAACCAGGTTTGATTCCCCACTCCTCCCTTTGCAGCTGCTGGATGACCTTGGGCGAGCCGTAATTCTGATAAGAGCTGTTCTTGAAAAAGGGCAGTTCTGGAAAGAGCTCTCTCAGCCCCACCTACCTCACACAGGGTGTCTGTTGTGGGGAGCGGAAGGGAAAGGAGGTTGTAAGCCGCTCTGAGACACATTTGGGTAGAATCAAAACTCCTCCTCCCCCCCCCCCAAGACATTGTACCCTACAGAGGTCCCTCCCGAAACCCTGCCCTCTCCAGGCTCTGCCCCCCAAATCTCCAGGTATTTCCCAGTCCGGAGCTGGCAACCCTAGCTCCTGGGGACCCCAAGGGGCAGGGAGAAGAGGCTATTACGGTCATTTTATCTATTTTTACATTATTTATCTCCCCGCCTTCCTCCCCAGCGGGGACCCCAAGCGTCTTGCGTCATTCTTCCCTTATCCTCCGTGTTGTCCTCACAACGACCCTGTGAGGTAGCTCAGGTTGGGAGTGTGTGACTGGCCCAAGGTCACCCAGCGAGCTTCCGTGGCACGAGGGGGGGGGGATTCAAACCTTGTTCACCCAGATCCTAGTCCTCGTGAGTATCCAGGAGACGCTGGTCAACTTCACCTCTCTCTCGACCGCGTTTTCTCCCACTGCCCGAGAAGGTGAGGCCCCGCCTGATAAATCTACAGAGCCCTCCTCTGGGAGGTGTCAAACCCGGGCTTAACCTCTAGAGTTACCACTCCTGAGCCCAAAGAGTGCCTTTAATAAGCCGCATGCCTAGAAGAAGTGTTCTCGGGATGGCTCCTCCAGTGGCAGCGCTGTAAGAAGCCAGAAACTCTACCTGTGGGTCTTCTCTTCGGCATCAGCTGTTAAAGGCACGGGAGTCCTTTTCTGGGCTTAAATGCTGGTAGTCTTGTTGAATTATTTCCACATCCGGCATTCTGCTCTTAAAGTGATCTCAATAGCCCATTGCCCCGATGCATCAACACGTTTAAGGTTGTTTTTTTTTTCAATTCAAAATTTTTATTGAAGTTTGGGAATTTATACAACCATAACCACAATGTATAACAACTTCTTTTCTATAAAAATCAACACGTTTAAGTTAACTAACTTACTAACATAGAAGAAGTGCAAAGCAAAAACTCTACAAGTACATTGTGCTATTAACAAGTGTAATACTAACAAACAAAAAAATATTTTTTGTTTGTTTGTTTGTTGGAAAAAGCATAAATAAATTCTTAAAAAAAAAACAAGTGTAATACTAACATTTAGTTTAACTGGGATATGATCTCTCACTCTTGGGTTTTTAGTTAGTGTGGTTATCTTTCCTTTATCCATAGATGCAGTCCCCTTCCTATATTTTTTCTTTGTAGTTTTGCAGTCTATTGAAAAACAATAAAAATACCCCTCCATGGGTTTATTAAAAAAAACACACACGTTTAAGAGCATGTACTCGGGGTCTCTTATTAGTTAAGACTAGCTTGTGTTAAAAGAACAAAGTCTGGATCCAGGGGCACCTTTAAGACCAACAAAGTTTAATTCTGTGCGTAAGCTTTCATGTGCATGCACTCTCCTTCAGATTCTTCAGTGGCTCAAGCGAAGACTGGCTGGCTCAGGGTCATCCGGTATCTGAGGAAGCGTGCCTGCACACGGAAGCTGATGCACAGAATTAAACTTTGTTGTTCTTAAAGGTGCCCGTGGACTCAAACTTTGTTCTGTCGCCCAGCTACCCACCTGAATCTAGGTTTGCGTCAAGTCAGCCCACGTGCTCACTCCTGCCTTGAGAGCGTGAGCCGTAACTCGTTGGATCAGGTCTGCCTTCATCACAAGAATCCCACCAGCCAGGGGTGCTCGGGTCGGAGAAGGAGCGATCACGGGACAGACTGTCGTTCATTAGGAAAACTACCGTGATGTAATAACAAAGCTGTCGTTTAAACAATTATTAAAAATATATATTTAATGTGTCCAGTGCATGACAGGTCATTCAGTTGTTTCCTTAGAAGTAAAATGGTCTCAAATCTCTCGTACTGACAGTGCAGCGCTCGTTGAACCGTTTCACTTAAAGTTTCATCAGATGAGACCTTTCACTGGAAAATATGCAAAATATACATTCATTTTCTAACAATTTTGATCTGAATGCACCCTTTAAACTACGACTTTGTTATTACATCACGGTTGTTTTCCCAATGAGCTTTAGAGGTGCTAGGGTCGGCAGAAATAGGCTGAACAGTCCTACTGGTGGATTCTGGTCTACCCATCCCAACCCAGAGAATGTCCTTTCTCTGTCCTCAGTGGTATTTCATGCATTTTGCATCAGTAATCCCGTTTTCCTCCCCAGTTGGAACTCAGAGCAGCCTAGAACATTGTTCTCCTCTCCGCCGTTTTATCTTCACAACTGCCCTGTGAGGTAGGCCAGACTAAAAGTTTGCGACAGGCCCAGTGACATTCAGAGAGCTTCCATGGGAGAAGCGGGGAGTCAAACCTGGCTCACCACATTGGCTCAGCCTCTCTCCTTCATAATGGGACTGGGAATAGCCAGGAAGCTACTTTGGCAGAGCCAGTTTGGTGTAGTGGTGAAGAGCACAGATTCTAATCTGAGAGAACCGGGGTTTGATTCCCCCACTCCTCCTCTTGCAGCTGCCGGTGTGACCTTGGGTCAGTCACAAGTTCTCTCAGAGCTGTTCTCTCAAGAGCAGTCCTCAAAAGAGCTCTCTCGGCCCCACCTACCTCCCAGGGTGTCTGCTGTGGGAAGGGAAAGGAGATTGTAAACTGCTCTGAACAACTTTAATGCCAGGAGCTCACAAAGTAGAAACTTCGCTCGCAAGACTCCACAGCTTAGAGGGAGCGTTGGCTGTCACCCAGCACTTATTTCCTCCCCCCACCCCAGCAAGCCCTGACCCGAATTCCAGATTCCTTTGAAAGCTCAGCACAGCGAATGGTGTGTGCACGCGCAGTGTCCTCAAGTCCCGGCTGACTCACGGTGACCCCATAAACTTTTCAAAGCAAGAGACAAGCCAGAGGTGGGGTTGCCATTGCCTGCCTCTGCGTAGCAACCCTGGACTTGCTTGGTGGTCTCCCATCCAAATACCAGCCAGGGCCGACCCTGCTTCCGAGATCTGACTAGATCGGACTATCCAGGGCCGTCCAGGACAGAGGTGGCTTTGCCATCGCCCGCCTCTGTGTGGTGACTCCAGACTTCCTCGGGTGCCCTCCCACCCAAATACTAACCAGGAACAGTGTTCCCTCTAAGCTGAGTGAGCGTGAGCCAGCTCACGTTTTTTTAGCCTCCAGCTCACACATCCTTGTCTCAGTTCAGGAAGGGACGGCGCCAGAGCAAACTCGCTGATGCAGCAGCCAAACGGCTCACTCACCGCTTTAATGCCGGGAGCACACAAAGTAGAATTTTTGCTCACAAGGCCCCACAGCTTAGAGGGAGTGTTGGGGGTCACCCTTCCAAATACTAACCAAGGCTGGCCCCGCTCGGCTTCCAAGATCAGGCTAGCCTGGGCTATCCCGGTGAAATATCTGAAGAAGTGAGCAGTGTGACTCACGAAAGTTCACCCCCGGCCACAAATTTTGTTAGTCTTTCAGGTGTTGCTGGACTCTTGCTCTTTTCTGCTGCTGCAGGCAGACCTACACGGCATTTTTTCTTTCTTTTCATTATCATTTTATTGGTAGGATTATAAAGTTTCGAGAAGTCATAACTGTCAATTACTTATAACATTAGAAATGTACATAAGGATCATAAGAAAAGTTAAACATTCAAACCAATACACCGATTACAAAAACAAACAAACAACAACAAAAGCAAGCTTCAAAGAATAATACATACTTCAATATACCTTTGAACAAAGTAACTTGTTTTAGCCTCAATTTGCAATTGGAGCCTGTACTGTTTGTTGTTTTAGATACAACCAAGTGTCTTCTGCCAACAAGACTATCTGTAGACATCCAATAATATATCTAACCATGTTAAACACAAAGTACAACCCACAAATCAAGTTTTACTAAAGCCTACTTGCTATAATTTACTTGAAACATTAATAAGTCCTCACAACCATTTAACATAGTTATCCCAGGATGCTGAGATGAATTTTTCGTCTGATAGGGCTTCTAGAATTGGAAACCATTTAGCTTCGAACCCAAAATGTACGACGTTCCTTTTATTCCTGTTAACTTTATCTGTGATGCTTTCCACAATGAACTGATTCCACAGCTTCTTGAGGAGGCACCTGGGGGCGTGCTGGACCTAGCGGGTTGCTCTCTGTGACTGTAGAGGGCTCCTAGGACATTCCGCCGAACCTTGTGCAAGGCAGAGGGGGCTCCCTGGCTGGAGATCTGGCATATGAAGGATTGCCCAAGGTTAAGAAGACTGGCGGGGAGGGGGGGAGACCCGGTTCAGGGGCGCTTCGGGGCATGCTCAGGACACCCTCCTGTCAAACGCCATCCCCGCTCGCACGTTTGAGAGGTCTCCTCACTCGGCTCTTTTAACACCCCCAGCAAGGTTGCGCCGAGACCCGAGAGCGCTTCCTGCGTATGACGAGGTGCCAATTCTGTGTTTCAGTCCCAGGTTTTGGGCCCAACCACTTTGGAGGGCCGGCACCGATGAATCGCAACCCGATGGTCCCGCTTGCTTCAGGGAAGGCCATGGTAAGTACCCGGACCGGCTTCAGGCAGGCGGCTCACTTGAGGCCGGTATTCCGACTGCGGCTGCTTTTGTCAGGGGCACGTTGGCCATAAGGCTTTATCGCTCGCTGGGGGAATGGCCCAGGCCCAAACCACAAACCCTACAAGGAGGTGCTAAGTGGAGTAAAATGGCAGGCCGGAGTGGTCAGATCCTGCCACTTCAGACGGCCGTGGAGGCATTGTTCCCTCTAAGCTGAGTTAGTGTGAGCTAGCTCAGAGTTTTTCTAGCCTCCGGCTCACACGTTTTTGTCTTAGTGAGCAAAAGTTCTACCCTGTGAGCGACTGGCATTAAATTTGTGAGCGAGCGATTTGGCTGCTGCATGAATTAGTTTGTTCATCATCGTGGCTTCTGTGCAGTCCCACATGGGATCTGCGCAGGCGCAGGCCAGCCACGGAAAAGATTTCCAAGCTTTCTAATAGACTAGGAGCGCCCCTCCTCCCTCTGGCGCTTTCCCGCCAAAACGCTCACATGACCAGGAGGAGGGGCGCTACTCCCTCAGTTCTCTTTTTGCCGCCACGGAGAGATCATCTCCACTGCTGTTCTCTGTGTTTTTTCCTCACCTCAGTTTTGTGGCTGAGGAGATTTTTTATTCTCAACAGTTTTTTATTCAAGTGAACAATGAAATACATCTAAAGAGCCAGGCTGCGATGGCACACTTAGGAGTTCGCCTAGCCTGATGATGGCCTATTCCCCCTCTGCTGAGGTGTGTGGACAAAGAGCCAGGCTGCGATGGCACTCTTAGGAGTTCGCCTAGCCTGATGATGGCCTATTCCCCCTCTGCTGAGGTGTGTGGACAAAGAGCCAGGCTGCGATGGCACTCTTAGGAGTTTGCCTAGCCTGATGATGGCCTAGGGGGAACACTGCTTCCCACAGGAATAAAGCCAGTGGCAAGCAACCCCCATCGCCAGTGGGACACTTTGCTACCTACAGAGACCCTTGTACACAGGAGAGCATGCCAAAAATATGTCTACCCCAGACTGTCTGTGTAGTGTTCTGCGGCGATATGCCTCGTCTGATGAACCGGAACACCTAGTCATTGTTTGTAGACCAGCTGTGTTTAGTAGAAGGAGACGCTAAGAACGGAGAGCAAAGAACAAACATCACGGGACCGGAGAGTCCTCTGACGCTCCCCATTCTATCAGGTTAGATACATCACCATAGAATGGAAAGCCACGTACTTAAAGATACACACACGTCTCATGTCTCCCTCCAAAAATACAAAAATGTTCGGCTACCAATTAAGAATTTAAACGTATAACATTAAGAACATAAAGAGAAGGCAATGTTGGATCAGGCCAGTGGCCCATCTAGTCCAACACTCTGTGTCACACGGTGGCCATTCACGATGAACAACTAAAGGTTCACGTAGCCTGTACAACCAAATGCGTAATGAGCATAGACATTACAGCCCGTATCTTTCTGGAGAAGATACACGCCTACCATAAGACGTTTGTACGCCTAGGAATCCTTTCTTGTCGTCTGGGAACGACTCAGTTCCCGATTTTCCAGTCTGTGAGCTGAAGTGGAATGGTTCAGAATTCCAGCACCTCTGTTTGTCCCCTCCTGCATAACATGTTAATCGCCTACAGGAAAGCCAGATTGTACGCGTTGGGCATGGGCTTAGGGGTTGCCAACTCTGGCTTGGGAGATACCTGGAGATTTGGGGGTGGGGAAGGCAGGATTTGGGAAGGGGAGGGGACCTCAGCAGGATATAATGCCAGAGGATCTATCGTCCAAAGCAGCTGTTTTCTCCAGGAGAACTGATCTCAGTCAACTGGAGAGAATTTTTAATCAGAGGAGATCTCTAGGTGCTCCCTGGTGGCTGGCAACCCTACCTGAGTGGTATACCTTTCTTACCTTTAAACCCCTATACGGCCAGAGTCCGACATACCTGAGGGAGCGCCTTTCCCCATATATACCCGCAAGAGCACTTCGGTCCGGGGCACAACATCGCCTGGTTGTTCCAGACCCCCGGGTGGCAAGGCTTGCCACAACTAGGACCAGATCCTTTTCAGTGGTGGCCCCTACCTGGTGGAATAAGCTCCCGGAGGAGATCAGGGCCCTAGTTTTCAATCCCCTTCCTAATAATCCCCAGCATAGCATTGGCCTTCTTTATTGCAGTCACACACTGTCTTGACATTTTCAGTGAGTTATCCACTACAACTCCAAGATCTCTCTCTTGATCAGTCTCTGCCAGTTCAGACCCCATACATGTGTATTTATATTTAGGATTTTTGGCTCCAATGTGCATCACCTTGCACTTGGCCACATTGAACCCCATTTGCCACGTTGACGCCCACTCGCCCTTCCTTGACAGATACCTTTATTTATTTATTTTACTTATTTATTAATCAGATTTATACCCCGCCCTCCCCCGTAGGGCTCAGGGCGGCTAACAAGGCAAGAAATCTTGCAACAATAAAAACATATATCATATAGTTTAAAACACATGTACAGTTTAAAAGCCAATCCCAATAAAAATTAAATTTAAAGTGCTCATTGATCTTCTTTACCAAGAACCCTCAAAGATGACGGACCAGTCCAGAGTTCCCCATAGTCCTTCAGCGGTTTCAGCATTCATTCAGATGTTCTGATGTTTCATTCCAGGGCCTCTTCCACCCCCCATGATGACAGTATAGCGGGGGGGGGGGCGGAAGGCGGAAGGCGGCGGCCCCTACTCGAAAGCCTGGTGGAAGAGCTCCGTTTTGCAGGCCCTGCGGAACTGCATCAGGTCCCGCAGGGCCCGGATCTCCTCCGGGAGCTCATTCCACCAGGTAGGGGCCGCCACCGAGAAGGCCCTAGCCCTTGTAGCAGCTAGTTTTACATCTCTGGGGCCCAGTACAGTTAGTAAATTTTGGGCCCCAGACCGTAGTGCTTTTGGGGGAACATACGGGGAAAGGCGGTCCCTCAGGTAGATTGGACCCAGACTATGTATGGCAGTTGATTGTTACTATGTTTTTACCCATGTAAGCCACCTTGAACCTGCTTGGGCGGGGAGGGCAAGGCATAAATCGGAAAGTAAATAAATAAAAAATAAATAAATTGCACAAATAACCTTTTCTGGAGTTTGGTCCTATTGGAGAGAAGAGTACGAGATTGTACAGGAATGGTCATTTTCCGCTTACCACCACCCCAGCCACGGTGTGCAGCAGAGAATATGATTTGACCGAACCGACGCAACAAGGGGCCATTGTCGTTTTATTTATTTATGCTTTTTAAAAGTCCGTCTTTCTCACCGAGACTCAAGGCGGATGACAGAGAGCGAGTCGATGCAATCGACAGAATGGGACACTCCGTAAACAGTGAAATAGGATTCGTGTTGTAGAGCCAATCAGAAATCTGGAAGAAAAAAAACGGAATCAAAGCAAAGCACGTTAACATGACACATAGCATGATGGAAGATTGCAAAACAGGATCCAAATCACAGCAGACTATACACAGTAGTGTAGACCACAGTCGTAAGAACATAAGAGAAGCCATGTTGGATCAGGCCAATGGCCCATCCAGTCCAACACTCCGTGTCACACAGCGGCCAAAACCCAGGTGCCATCAGGAGGTCCACCAGTGGCTTTAAGGACACAAGAGAATCCGTGTTGGATCAGACCAATGGCCCATCCAGTCTAGCACTCTGTGTCACATAGTGGTCAAAGCCCAGGGGCCATCTGGAGGTCCACCTGTGGGGTCAGAACTCCAGAAGCCCTCCAGCTGTCGCCCCCCAAGTACCAAGTCCAAGTAACTCTGTGAATCGTTTTAGTGGTCAAAGCCCAGGGGCCATCTGGAGGTCCACCTGTGGGGTCAGAACTCCAGAAGCCCTCCAGCTGTCGCCCCCCAAGTACCAAGTCCAAGTAACTCTGTGAATCCATATGTACAGTGCTGTCCTGTTGCCGGCATGGAAAAGCCGTCTCGAATAATTCAGTTTTGCATAGTTTGCAGAAAGCCAGGAGTGGGGAGCCTTCCTGACCTCCCTGTTTGGATTACCATTTGGGTTATTCATATTCCACAGTGCTACAGTATTGGGTGCGGCAAGCTGGATCCAGTTGTGCAGGATTGGTACAGCATGTGAATTTATGACGCTGCCTCGTACCAAGTCACACCCATTATTCCCTCTGTCGTCCACTGAGAACAATGTTCCCTCTTTTTTCTTTTCCCCCTACTGAGTGGAGCAGTTCACATCCTGAGCAGAATATTTTATTTATTTATTTATTTATTTGGATTTATATCCCGCACTCCCCGCAGGCGGGCTCAGGGCGGGTAACAATGTAAAATACAACACAGTTAAAACCAAATTGAAACAACGGTATAAAATGCCATACTCCTAAGTACCACGTCAGCTCTCATAGAACCATATCAACAGTGGTGGAAGATTCTGAGATGTTAGGGTTTGCCCCTGGTGTGGGCCGCGCAAAAAGGGGGGGGGGGGGCCGCCTCAACCGGAAGCCTGGCGGAAGAGCTCCGTCTTACAGGCCCTGCGGGATTGTAGTAGATCCCGCAGGGCCCTGATCTCACTGGGAGCGCATTACACCAGATGTGCAGGATTGGTACAGCATGTGCATTTATGACGTTGCCTCGTACCAAGTCACACCCATTATTCCCTCTGTCGTCTACTGAGAACAATGTTCCTTCTCTTTTCCCCCTACTGAGTGGAGCAGTTCACATCCTGAGCAGAATATTTAATTTATTTATTTATTTATTTATTTGGATTTCTATCCCGCCCTCCCCGCAGGCGGGCTCAGGGCGGGTAACAATGTAAAATACAACACAGTTAAAACCAAATTGAAACAACGGTATAAAATGCCATACTCCTAAGTACCACGTCAGCTCTAATAGAACCATATCAACAGTGGTGGAAGATTCTGAGATGTTAGGGTTTGGCCACTGGTGGGGTCGGCCACAAAGGGGGGGGGGGCGGCCGCCTCAACCAGAAGCCTGGCGGAAGAGCTCCGTCTTACAGGCCCTGCGGAATTGTAGTAGACCCCGCAGGGCCCTGATCTCACTGGGGGCGCGTTACACCAGGTAGGGGCCGGGGTCGAAAGGGTCCTGGCCCTGGTTGAGGCAAGTCGGATGTCCCTGGGGCCGGGGACTACCAAAAGGTGTTGATTAGCTGACCTTAGTGCTCTACAGGGCTCATATGGGGAGAGGCAGTCTTGAAGGTATGCTGGCCTGCTGTATTCTTAAAAATATAACTGCTGTATTCTTAAAATGGGCAATGGGCAGTACAAGACTCCAGATTGCTGCTGAGCAGGGCTTCCTGGGTTAATGAGCAGCCGCTCACGCACACAGCTTAGATGGAACAGTGACTCCAAGGGCTCAGACTAGATGTCTCAGCAACTCTGCCTGGATTCTTTTTTTAACTTTGCGGGGAAGGGAACGAACCTGGGACCTTCTTATATTCGGAGCGTGGTCTTCCCCACTGAGCGAGGGCACCTCTACCCGGGCCTCCGGTAGAAGTCCTTGAGAAGTCGCCGTGATCACAGTATCCATCCCTGCTTCTCTTTGCTTCTGTCTCCAGTTTGCACCCCAGGTAGGGCCAAAGATGCAGTACCAACCACCTGCCCCACACGGCGGCGTTGGCACTTCCTCGTCTTTTCTTCCCGGCCCCGGCTCCAATTTTCTCTTCTCTCCTCACGGCCTGACGGACGCAGCCCCCTTCCACGAGGACCCTGCCTTGAAGGGCGGACACTTCAACCACTGGCCCATGTCTTACGACTGCTGCCCTCCCAAGTTCCCCAACCACCACCTGAGCTCCAAACCTTCTCCGTCATCTGGACCTGGGTCTTCGCCCTCCTCCTCCTCAGATGGGGAAGAGCACAACGGAGCCAGTTCCAAGTGAGTGGGGCCCAGTAGCGTTTCTGTGAGACAAGGCTGGCTGTGGGATGGCTGCGATACCTTATGCGGGTGGAATGAGCAGGGAGCCAGGTCCACACGTCACTTTTCTCATCTCTGAGAGTGGTCCGTAATAAACCGTCCACAGTGCGCTCAATATTTCTTTAACTAAAACCGTAAAGTTATAAATATGAAATGTACAAAAGTGATAAGAATACATTCAAATGTGTAAGTTCAGATACATAAAGATAGAAGATGACAACGACGGGACGGTGGTCTCCGGAATGCGATGCCTTCTAACCAAGAGTCTATAAGTTGATGATGTATGAAAAATTGCACTTCAATGGAAAAGCTGCCCAATTCACATGGAGTTCAATAGTTTCACCTATTTCATTGCATAAGTAATGGAGAAGAACATCTCTCAAACAGCTTTTCCATTGAAGTGCAATTTTTCATACATCCTCAACTTATAGACTCACTTGGTTAGAAGAAGACGCTTGTCGAAACGGCATCGCATTCCGGAGGCCACCGTCCTGTCGTTGTCATCTTCTATCTTTATGTATCTGAACTTACACATTTGAATGTATTCTTATCACTTTTGTACATTTCATATTTATAACTTTACGGTTTTAGTTAAAGAAATATTGAGCGCACTGTGTACAGTTCTTGTGGTTCTATTTTTGCATGTCTATGGACTGTGACCATATTTGTTTTTGTATACCGTAATAAACCGTACCATTTAGAGCAGGGTTCCCCATTGTGGTTGCCAAGGGCACCATGGCACCCGCCAGTACTTCCCTTGTTACCCGCTGAGCTTTTCATAAAGCTGGGTGGGGCCGTTGTACGGCAGGGCTTGTTACTGGCTTCCCTCGTTCAAGTTAACAAGTTTTCTACTGGAGGATGAGGATGACCAGAAAGCAACTGGGCTTCCCTTAGTTACTGTACGGTTCCTTTCCCCCTTTGGGATTTCTTTCTTCCCAGAGGTGTGAGGAGGGAGGTATCCTGTTTGGCTCCGCCTCCTGAGGCGGACATTTTGGATTTGGCTCTGCTTCCTGTGGAAGCCAGTGTGAGAGCTCGTGGAAGCCAATGTCAAAATTCCAGAGGTGGCCACAGCCTCAAAAGGTTGGGGGATCCCTGGTCTAGAGGATGCACAAGCCAGTTTAGTAGACCAAAAACGTACTGTGGAGGAGGGGGGAGAGAAGGAAGAGGATTCTAGCATTACAGCTCCTCCAAGATGTGGAACTACTGCTACATCCCCTTTTCTTACGTTCCTCCAGCCATGTGTCTGAAGCAGCGCCCCGCAAATCCGGCTGGGAAGATCCTGGGGGCGAAAAGATAATGAGCCAGGGATGGGGACAGCCACCCGGCGGCTCTGGCAACTCGGAGAGGAACCACAGTGGCCCTGAGGCCCACATCCCGTCACTGCTCTCCATGGCGACCCGCAACCACATGGACATCACCACCCCGCCCCTGCCTGCCGTTGCCCCCGAAGTGCTCCGTGTGGCCGAGCACAGGCACCGCCGGGGGCTTATGTACCCTTTCATCTACCACGTCCTCACCAAGGTGAGAGGGGGTGGCAAGGCAGGAGGTGTTCTGAACTGCGTCAACTCTCTCTGGGGAGTCTCGGGTGGCTGAGAAGCACCACTCGCGGATTCTCTCTCTCCCTCCGCTCCCCTCCAGGGTGAGATCAAGATCCCCGTATGCATTGAAGACGAGTGCAACAGCGAGCTGCCGCCCGCGGCTGTCCTTTTCCGGGCTGCACGGCAGTACGTATACGGCGTCCTTTTCAGCGTGGCCGAGACACAGCGGCGGATGGAACGCCTGGCCATGCGCAAGCACATCCCTGTGGAAAGTAGGTGTCTTTCATCATTCGGCACGTGCTTGCTTCGTGCTTCAGTTCTGTGGTTCTCAAAAGCATGAGACCACCCACCCCAAGGGGGGACTGAGCAGTTGCCCAGCTGGGGTCCCCAACATTGTCCTGGCGTCCACTAACTCCTTTCCTGGCACACAGTGGGCAAGGTTAGGTGGGGATTGGCGGTGGGAGACTTGATTGGCTATACAGATTTTTTTCAAAAAACCCACAAACATTGTTGAGGCAGCCATTTTGTGCCTGGCTGTGCCTCATCTGGCCGGCATTTTGTGGGTGTGCCCAACACACTGTGTCAGAATTCCAAAGGTGCCCACAGGTGAGTGCCAGCATTTATAGTCCTCCTTTCACACAAACAAATAAGACTCACAGCGGATAAGGAGTCACTGGTTGTGAGGGCCTTTCTCATACCCTTTGCTAGACCGGAGACAAATTCATGATTGGAGTGGGGCAGGACATGCTACATAGAGTCTTTGGATTTAGCAACTGTGCCAGAAATCAAGTCGATTGGCCACGGTTGGAGCACACGATCCTGGTGTTGGGATCCACTATTCCTGGGTGGGGCTCCTTCTATTTATGTGGACATGGGGGGGACCTCTTCCGTACCTCCTGGTACATGCGGCCGCACGAACGGTTACATCTTTACGGACCAGGCCAGGCATTCTGCTTTCCTCCACAGCTCCTCCCGTCATCGTCAAGGAGTGGTCCGCGTACAAGGGGAAATCACCTCAGACTCCGGAACTGGTCTCGGCCCTCGCCTTCCGGGAGTGGACCTGCCCCAACCTCAAGAAGCTGTGGCTCGGCAAGGCGGTGGAGGGCAAGAACCGCCCCATGAGGGCCTTCCTGGCCTGCATGAAGTCAGACACGCCCGGCATGCTCAATCCCGCCAACGTCCCCACGCACCTGCTGCTGATGTGCTGCGTGCTCCGGTGAGTGGGTCAGAGAAACCAGGTATAGGGCATTGGGAGGGGGTCACGCGTGTAGGCTCTCTCGAGCCGCAGAGGTTCCTTGGACTGGGATGACTTGGAGGTCCAGTGGCACAGAAAGCATGACTGTGGTGGAGCGGTGAGGAGAACTTGAGGTGCTCTGAGCCGAACATTGCAGTGGGCGGCTTGGAAGAGAAGAGACCTGTGCCGGAGACAGTGGATTTGGGGGTGCTGTTGCTTTATTTTATTTATTTAGTCAGCAGGGGCTTCTGCAGGTGTCAGCCCGGAAATGGGCAAAATCAACAACTGCCCGTGTGCAAGCTTTCCCCATTGTGGCTCCTGCCTCGTGAAATGGCCTGCCCGAGGAGGTCAGGAAAGCTCCCACTCTCCTGGCCTTCCGTCACCTATGCGAAACTGAACTATTCAAGAGGGCTTTTCTGCGCAGGTAATAAAGCTGCACAGTAAGGATGGGTGCGAACCAGGAAAACGGATGTTCGTGCAGGTTTGTGGTTCGTGACATCGCACGAACCACAAGCCGGTTCGGACCTCCCGTGGTTCGTGAACTGGTTCAGATTCATGAGGTTCGTATACTCCTGGAGGTGTGCTGCTGCTGCTGCAATTCGGGGAGGGAAGGGGAGGCATTTAAAAATGCTTGTGCGGGCTGGGAAGCAAAAGGCATCATTGAAATGGCTTGCGTCTATTAGACGCCGTTTCAGCAATGCCTTTTGCTCCCTCCCGTGGAAGCCGTGGGTGGCTCTCGCAAGTCAACTTGCTCGTGTTGCGCCACCGCCACGGCATGAGTCGACTGGCAAGTGAAATCAGAAGTAATTTAAATGCCTTTTGAGCTCACTGGCGAACGGCAGGGCAGTTTTAAAGGGTTCCGACCATTGCCTTGGGCGCCAGCACGTCTGGCCCAGGAACTGCTTTCACGAACCGAACGAACCTCAGCAAAAACCATGGTGGTTCACGGTCAGTTCGTGAACCACGCCATCACACGAACCAGGCCCTGGTTTGTGACGAACTCCAGTTCATAATTCAGTTTGTGCCCATCCCAGCCGCACGGCACAAAATGGTTTTACAAACTCGCTTGGATAAACTATTAGAGACTGTCGTCTATACTGCTGCGTATAATTTTTTGTAAGTAAGCTCCTATTATGTCATTTCTGTACCACGTTATATGTTACATGAATCCTTATGCTATGCTTCAGTTCTTTCTGGTGGTTCCAGACTTCTAATATCCTACGGCATAATGTTATTGAGGCCAGTATGGTGTTGTGGTTAAGAATGGCGGCCTCTAATCTGGAGAACTGATTCCCTACTGCTCCTCCACATGAAGCCTGCTGGGTGATCTTGGGCCAGTCACGGTTCTCTCAGAATCTCTGTCAGCCTCACAAGGTACCTGTTGTGGGGAGAGGAAGGGAAGGAATTCGTAAACCGCTTTGAGACTCCTTAGGGTAGAGAAAAGCGGGGTATAAAATCATCTCTTCTCCTCCTCCTCCACATGCTGGGTGACTTTGGGCCAGTCCCAGTTCTTTCGGAACTCTCTCAGCCCAACTACCTCACAAGAAGCCTATTGTGGGAGAGGATGGGAAGGTGATTGTCAGTCAATTTGAGACTCCTTGAGGTAGAGAAAAGACTGATATAAAGACCTTCTCTTCTTCTGTTGAGTGTACCATTTTGTTGATTGTACTGGCTCACTTTGTGTAATCCACCCATGAGAAAGATAGGCTATAAGTAGTGTACTCAAGGCGGGGTGACACAGTAGTGTAGTCCACAGTCCCTTTTCCTTAAGAACATCAGAAGAACCCTGCTGGATCAGACCAGTGATCCATCTAGTCCAGCCTCCCGTCTCACACAGCGGCCAACCAGTTCCTCTGGAGGGCCGACAACAGGGCAGAGAGGCCGAGGCCTTCCCCGGATAAGAACATCAGAAGAGCCCTGCTGGATCAGACCAATGAGGGTCCCTCTAGTCCACCATCCTGTCTCACACAGGGGCCAGCCAGCTCCTCTGGAGGGCCAGCAACATGGCAGAGAGGCCGAGGCCTTCCCCTGATAAGAACATCAGAAGAGCCCTGCTGGATCAGACCAGTGAGGGTCCCTCTAGTCCAGCATCCCGTCTCACACAGGGGCCGGCCAGCTCCTCTGGAGGGCCAGCAACATGGCAGAGAGGCCGAGGCCTTCCCCTGATAAGAACATCAGAAGAGCCCTGCTGGATCAGACCAGTGAGGGTCCCTCTAGTCCAGCATCCCGTCTCACACAGGGGCCAGCCAGTTCTTCTGGAGGGCCAGGAACAGGGCA